GTGTTTTGTGTGCTGCAGAACAGGAACCTGCTGTAAAACAGCAATTATGCTGAGTCAGGCTTGATTTTTAATAATCTTTTCCTGTTAAATAAATAAATCAAATCAAGATGTTTATCTCATTGTAAATCTAACACAAAGCTAAGAAAAGACTTGCAGCTAAGAATGTAAAAAAAGAGAACTAAGAGAAATGTTTGCATAGGACATATTTAGAAACAGCTGTTAGACACCTCAACAACACTCTGTTAAACTAAGAAACTTTGAGAGCTGAAAGGAGAGGGGGGATCTCAGTTATTTGAGTCTACATAAGTAGAAATGTTTTAAGTTGTTGAAGTCTTGAGTCATTGGTATGTTCTGTGCTGACTATAGCACTTCCTGTTGGGAGTTGAAAACAGCAGTTCTTCATAGAAAATAAATGTTTCAATAAAGGTTCACATTCTGTCACTTTTACTGGATTCCTCAAAGCTGATAAAGTTCGAAGTTGCTGGAAAGTTGCTGATGGTTTTGACCAAGTGAACAATTATCTGCCTACGATTTGAATTAGACAAACTGTAGTGTTTTGGTTTTTAAAAATGAGTCACTTTCATGCCTATCTGGGTTAATCTTAATTTTTGTGAACAATCAACTGATTAAATTGTCGCTGAAAACAAATAAAAATAAATATTTCAGTCAAAATGATCAAAACTTCTCTGCTGAGGTCAATTTAGAGGTGACAAAATGGATATATGCACAGTTTTGACTTGACTGCTGGATTGAGATGTAAGATTTACAGCTTTTCACTTTAATATGGTATATGAAGCAGAAGTATTGCCTCTGTGTGAGTGACACAGCTACCTGTGTGGTGACAACACTGAATAGCTTGTGTTTGTAACTGTGTGTGTGTGTGTTTAGAGGTGAAGGTCGTGGCAGAAAGAAGCTCCATCCAAACAGCAGCCATTTTAATTTGTTTGACAGGGGAGAAAGGTGATAACCTCCCTCTACAGCCGCTCACCCGAGGAAGAGGGGGTGGTGTTAGAAAACAAGGCGCGAAAGCAAAAAGCAAAGGAAGGATGGCTGAGCTGAATAGCGATAAGGCTGTTGAAGAGAGAGAAGCTGAAAAAGAAAGAAAAGAGTGCGGTGGAAAGGAGAGTGTAATATTTGATTATGGCTCAAGGCTTGTATGTTTATCCAAAGGCTAAAGACTGTCAACCAGCTAATCACGGGGGAGGGATGTGTAGGTGTTCCTGTGTTTGTGGGAGCATGTGAGCCTGTGTGGGTCATTGCTATCAGCACATAATTTATGCTGACTACACGTGTCTGTGTGTGTTTGTGTGTACGTTAGGATTTCTGGATGTCAGTTACAGTTCTGTGGGCCTGAGGAGAATACAGCAGACTCCCTCAGGGTGCTGTTAGTGCCACTCTCATACAGATGTGTGCTGGGCTGCAACTGTGACAGTGTCAACGCCTGCATGTGTGCGTCCTTCTTACAGGAAACAAAAACTCATCCTTTAAGGCTCAGCGTTCCTAACAGTGTCAGATGTTTTCTAGAATCGTATCAATTTTTTTTTTTACTGACTACTGGTCCACTAAATTAGTGATGATGTTTGAGAGGAAAAAAGCTAAATATAATTGTGTTTGTCACAGAATTTGGTTACTATGAAAAGATTTCTAATTTTCAGTATCAAATTTCTGCAAGAACAGTTTCAGTCTGTATATTCAAAGAGTTTTATAGAAACTAAAGAAAATCCTAAATTTGCTGTAAGGTATTGAGAGCTCATCTAACATGTTTTAACCCTTTAAAATCGTGGCTTAATGACATTTTTACATTAAAATGATTAAATTTATCACCCACCACTAAAGGCAAAAGGGTGATGATGTTTTTGGCTCTTTGAAATTAAAAATCAAAATGTCTTCAACCCAACATGAGATGATCAGCTTAAAACATGAAAAAAGTGGGTGATGTGCGTATCCTTAAGGACCCTTAGTTTATGGTTGTAATTAAGGCAGAGTTATTATATTGCAATTGATCTTGAAAAAGCATACCTATTTTATTACCTTGGTACACCATATATTATAATTTGAAAAGAAAAAGACAATTTTAGCAATATGCTACAGCTTTTGAAATTGCCTTTTTTTTTTTCCTGACAGATTTTGAAGGAGGAGGAACCTGGTTGGTTTCAGAAAAAGACAAGGAGGTAAGTCAATTTCAAAGTTTTCTTTTTTTTTACAGTAATTTTACTGTTGTTGTTGTTGTTGTTGTTGTTGTTGTTTTTGTTGTTTTTTTTTTCTTTTTAGGCAAATTTAAAATAGTTTCCACTTGTGGTATGAAGAGTTTTGAGGAGCTATAGGAAAAAGAATGTTTGTTAACTTTTAAAATTGTTTAATTCTTGTTCAGCCATGTTAAAGGCTGATTTGTTCCTTCTGAACTTGTCTAAGATACAGTAGCAAAAGCAATAAACTATTTAACAACAATAGTAGTATATTTGTGACATTGTAGCGTTATGTATATAAAAAGGTTTTTACTTTTGTCAAAGTGATTTAGAAGACATCAACACCTAAATTAATGATTCTTAAAAAGTACTCCTCTTTAATGAGTTGAACTCTTCTGGTTGGTATTGATCAAACTCTGGCCATGACCTCAGTAACAGTACTAACTGTGTGTGTTTCAGGCTCAGATCTATAACAAAGGCAATGGTCCCAGGATAACGGTACAACGGGTGTCGAACAGATATTATACTAACAAGAACGTCCACTGTAGAAACTGCAACAAGACCGGACATATCTCCAAGAACTGCTCTGAATCCAATGTCAGTTCTTCTTGCACAGTAGTGTTTCTGTCTTGGCCTCATTGCAAGGATGTAAACATTTTAATAACAGTGCTGTGCATATGTGTGTGTGTGTATGTGTGCAGAAGTTGTTGCCCTGTTACCTCTGTGGTACAGCAGGCCATGCAGCCAGTGAGTGTCCCAATAAACACTGCCGCAACTGTGGCCAGCCCGGACACTGCTTTGATTCCTGCCGTGAGAAGGCCTATTGGTACAAACAGTGCCATCGCTGCAGCATAAAGGGACACTTCATTGATGTGAGTATAGAATATTGTTTTCTTTATGTATGTATTTTTGTGTTTCCAAACAGTATTATTGTTTATCGCGATAATTTCTGCGACAATTTATCGTCCAGCAAAATTTATTATTGTGACGTGTGAAATTTACATCTATACTTGGATCTGTTTACACTGGTTAGGATTAGGGCTGCGCGGTAGATGGTAGAAACGGTATGAAGTTGGCCTAGGGTAGAAATTTACCCTCTACCCTCCTACCGTCATTACGTCATCGCACCTGTGTCAACAGGACTGTGAGTGCAGAGAAAACTGAGCAGGAGACGTTTGAACTATAATGAAGAAATTATAGTGTTTTAAAACATGTATAGAGAGAATAAATCCTCAAAATTGCCCCCTGCCGCTGTAGAAAAGTTACGTTGTGTCACGGGATCATTTTCTCCCTCCCTCTTGCTGCACGTCGTGCAGAGCGAAGCTTTAACATCATAGTTTTTTCACACCCAAGTTGTCGGAGAAAAAACTTGTTTTTTTATGTGTTGTTACCCACAGAGGTGATTTAAAAAAAAGACGTGAACGTTCGTTCAGTCATAAATCCATCTTGCTAATGTAAAGATGGCTTCTGCTCTAATGATGAAGATGATGAAGATGAGAGCGCAGCATAGCAGCAGCCGATAAGTTCAGCAGGAAGAAGCTCATTGTATGGCAGGCAGATGTTACATTTATTTGGCTTCACCACACTTACATTCTAGTTATCTGAAATTGTTTCATGACAGGACTATGTGCAGCTTAAGCCCCTTAAGGTCCTGTCACACTATAACATTTTAGGCAACATTCAATTTTTTACGTCTAAATGACTAATTTTACTTGAAGTACTGATTATAATATTAATTTTATTTTGATATTGTTGAAAATTTAAAAAATGTTTTTGTTGTTGAAAGGGTTTTACAATATATATAAGACATTCTTCTGTACTTCTGTTATGTTCATTTGCACTACGGCAAAAATACTGGCTTTGATTATGATTACAGTTTTCTGCAAAATAAATGCTCTAAAAATAACATTATCTTTGCTTTTTATGATAATGTTCTACCGTGATACATACCGTTACCGCGAAGGGATCCATTTTATACCGTGAAATGAATTTGAGGTCATACCGCCCAGCCCTAGTTAGGATGTACAGTAGTAAGAGCCTAACATTACAAGGAGTGTAAGCTAAACCATGTTGAGCTATGCAGGGCCGTTTTTGTGTACATGTCTAATGCAGTGTATTCATTACAAAAACTCATGTAGGATGTGCATAAACACAGGGGTTTTGTGATGTTTTTATAATTCCAAAATGTATGTGTAACATAGAGAACACACAGAGCAATTGAAAAAGCAATAAAAAGGAAATCAGAAAGTAGTCTGCGTATGTTTTTTTTTTTTTTAGCTGAACTATGCAAAGACATTCCACACATTTAATCATCAATCACCAATGAAGGAAGTATTTTTTGTTCCAGGTTTGGATTGGTGTGTTACAACTGAAGGGTGTAACTAATGACCATTAATGCTGCATTTATTACCTGGCCCTATTACGCAGAAGTCTAGAAAGAGAAAACTGTATATTATGAGCTGTCGACAGCCACCTCCCACCCCCACGTCTCCTCTCCCTCCTTTTTCGTCAGTCAGTCATGTACCGTGCTTTGTGTGATGGATGAGTAACCAGGTGAACACCAGAGGGAGAGGCTACACCAGGACACACACGGCCCAATTTACCTTTTTATTCTTTCCTCCTTCCCTCTTCCTTTCTGACAAACTCTTATTCATCCGGTCTCATCTTCTCATTCCCACCCGTCTGTTCTTCTCCTTCCTCTCGCCTCTTCTACATACCGTTTTAAACAGCAGAGGTCCAAAGTTGTGCAGCGCTGTAATTACCTCTCACTTGTAATGCATAACTTTTTTGTTTGTTTGTTTCTTACACTCACAAATTACACTGAGTGTATTAGTGTGTGTGTTTGTGAGAGAAAAGGAGTCAAGTCTCAGTCCCTTGGGCCCTACTGTGTCTCTCATTAAAGACAGACGGTTGATGGAGCGCGAGTGTGTCGCTCGCCTCGCCTGTCGCCCTCAACAACAGCACACTACCCTGGCGGTCTGGAGGGATAGAGCAAAAGGGAGGGAGTGTGTGTGTGGGTGTGTGTGATGGTGGGGGGGGGGGTTGTCAGAGGGAAAAAGATAGATGAGAGGAAGGAAAAGATTCTGCTATCAAAATTCATATTAGTTCCTTTTATTCAAATCTAAACAGGTAGGATTTAGCCAGGAAAACTACCACTCAGGCCAAATTAGACTTTTTGCAGTTAAATATAGAATTTATTTAAGTTTACTGAGTGCAAGAGCAAATTATGTACAAGCTTTTTTTTCACAGAACAGGCTTGAGAATCTGAACTGTGTCTCACTCTGCTTCTCACTCAGTAGGTATGTAAGCAGATAAATCTTATTGCCTGAGGCGACTGCGGCATTTTCAATTTCCCCATGGGAAGTGGCACTGGCTGGCAAAGGATGTCGGAACGCTTAAGGAACAGCGTGGAGAAGCCCCAGAGATAATGCTTTAGCCACAGCAGCACAAAACAACTGACTGCCTCACTTTCTGACTGTTTGAGCAACACATTACTGGAAAAGTGTAAAAATCTGGGCTTTAGGGAGAGAGATGCAGGAAGAAGCTGGAGGACTCAGGCGGGCAGTTGACACGGAAGTGTTTTCTAAATTTTATTTTGCATGGCCCTCATGTCTTGGTATCACTCAATAAATCAGATTTCTTTTTCTTTACATTTCAAACATAGTTTTCATGGATGTTACCAACATGTTATTTTTTCTTTAGTGTTCAGCTCGTGGTAAAGAGTCGCATACACATTCATGCTGCTTCCGTGTGCCTCTCCAAAATAATATTTGAGAATGCATTTGTTGTGAATTATGCCAAATAAATAAATAAATTCAGTTGATTTCTTTTTTACTTTAAAATGTATTTTTCTCTCCTTCCAGGCTTGTCCAGAGATCTGGAGACAGTATCACATTACAGTGAGTATCTTTTCATTAAGTCAACTCTGTCAAGCCCTGCTGCGCTCACATTCACCTTAACACTGCTTCACATGTTCATGTTCTAATCTCTGAGGATTTTTTAGTCTTTTAAGACAGAATTCCAGATGTGACTTTTGTTTATTATATTGGTATCCTAAAGAAACAATGATCTTCTTTATTTTGAAAAGATTTTAGACTGAAAGTAACACTAATATAATAACTGGGTCTTCACTTCCTCCCCTTGTCACACGAACACATACAAAAACAGGTCGCACTAGACGTTTTACTAAGTTCACCATTTGTTTGCTGCGAGTGTGTAGTAAGTCTACAGCACAACCACTCAACGTAATGTTAATAACTAGCTCACAACACGCATACATCCAAATACATCACTAAAATGTAACTTATTTTTAAGGAAGTGTCATCCAAACACATTTTTTACTATTTACCACAGATGAAGTCAAACTCAGCGTTGAAATTCTCCTAAATGAATCCATCCTTTTGTCCTTATGGATTAATTTTTCAGTACTGATTCAACACGTAACAGACAGCCTGTGTCTTTGCAAAGCAAGAAATATTAAATGGATATCCATAACTTCATCAATTGATGCTGTTTGAATGAGTTAACTCCAGTAGTTTCCAATATCGATTTGCAATTTAATTATATGTGGCTCAGTGGTTAACTGAGGGCACTGATTGTGTTGAAAGCTTAGTAGTTGTAGTAATAATATTAATAATAATACTAATAATAATAATAATAATAATAATTAGGCTTTAAAACATTTGGACAGTACTGTATAGGCTACAAGTGTTTCCAGTAGATTACTTACTTACCACAGTGCTCCCAATTAAAGCAGAAAGAAAGGACACAAGATGGTGATGGTGGATGGACAGACTAAGCCCGCAGCTTTCTGAACCCAGCTTATTTTAAACCCAGTGACTGTCCCTTTATTTTTATTTTTTTCTTCATTCAGAATACAGCTAATCAGACACAAAATCTATTAAATCTAATGAAGCAAAACACGTCTGACAGAACAGAGCTTTCAGATATATTCATTTCCTAACAGTTGTTTGAATAAATGGAAAATCTTATTTGCCCTCACATCATATTTCTGTAACTTCCTAAAGGACAAGTGTTAACATGAACTTCAAATAAAAGTTTCAAATCAGTAAATTGATTCTGACTAGGATTGAGCTCGCCGTACAGCTGAGATGTTAAAACTAAAAGGTTAAAGGAGTTTTGAAAAGGGATGGAAGATGATTTTTGTCTTAATGTTCAACCTAAGTGCACATGTGATGTTGGGGTGTGTGTGTGCATGTATGTGTGTGTGTGGTGTGTGTGTGTGTGTGCTTACAATGTGTCAGAAAGTTGAAAACTGTGACACTCACGTGGGCCACATGTCAGTAGGGAGGCATTTGCCTATTTGAGAAAGTGTGTGTGCGTTTGTGTGAATTAAAAGATTGGAAAGACAACTAGTTTTCCAGGCGTGTGTGTGTGCGTGTGTGTGTGTGTGTGCATCTGAGCAAGGGGGTGATATAGACCTCAGCCTAAGAGAAAAGAGCAGCTTGTTTGTCAATTAAAAGACGTGATAAAGCATGAAATGGGCTGCCAACACCACGCGGGACGAGGCAGCGAGGAAGAAGGAAGAGGAGTGTGTGTTTGCATATATCTTGGCGTGCACTTTGCGTATGTGTGTTGGCGGAGGTCTGTCACTCTCCTCTATGGAGATTAATTAGCAGGGGCTGTCTAATGAAAAGGCAGCATCGTTAGCGCGGGGTAGCATGGTGGGAGAGACGGGGGGGGGGGGGGGGAGCGGGACAGAGAAGTTCCAGGGGAGATGCTAGCAGAGAGGACGGTGGAGTTTAATTGTTGCTCATGTTTCAGTGGAAGATGCTGATTCAGTTCAGTTTCACTCAGAACCACAGACGAGAGGAGACGATACAGGCGGAAGTCTCTGGTTGCACGCTGGTGAAACAGTCTTTTTTGTGCGTTGGCGTGCGTGTTTTTGTGTGTGGCGTTGTGCTTTAACGGGTGGAGGATTGTGACCCAGGTCTAATTGAAGTATTTAAGCCATTTAAGCACAGGGAACAGAAGGTCGTTACAGATCCAAACTGGCATGGGGGTTAGGGGCCCGCGCACACACGGACCCGCTCTCACACTCACACAACCACGCAGGGCTCCTTCTGTTTAAGACAGCCCCATTTTATTCATGATGCTGCTTATGACCCTGAACTCCCCAACGTGAGGAGGTGTGTGCGTGTGTGGATGTGTGTGCGTTCGCTTTGGGAGATGAGACTCTGTCACCTTCCGCTGGGCTCAGCCAGGTGTGAAAAGGCATTCTGTCAGACCTCCCTGCTACCGGGTCCATTTATCCTTCGTTGGTGTGTGTTTGTGTGTGCACAGTCCGTTTATCTTCCGTGAGTGTATGTGTTGTCTGCCTGCACCTGGCCCTCAACTAACAAACTCCTCCAAACCCCTCAGTATAGACCACAAAGCCCAGGGGCTTTTACTGAGAAACTACCACACGGACACACACACACACACACACACACACACACACACACACACACACACACACACACAGAAGTATTTAATAGTTAACATAACAGTGTGAGGAGACTGACATTTTCTGCCTTGTCCTTGGTTTATCAGACTCAAACCATCCTGTGTGAACCTCCTTGTGTGTGTGTGTGTGTGTGTGTGCGTGCGTGCGTGCGTGCGTGCGTGCGTGCGTGTGTGTGTGTCACCCCAGGAGAGCTGGGAGTTCATGGTTCATTAGCCACACGTACACTTCCGTTCTGCTCTCACTGGTAGAAGGGACAGATTCAATGCATTCACACACAGACACACACATGCGCACACACTCAATTTCTCTGTTTTGCTTTGTTCTGCCGGCGCTGATGAACAGACACGCACCCCACCCCACCCGCCGCCGCCTCAGCCTCCTCATCTTCAAGTAATCAGGGTACCTTCGAGACAGACAGGTAGCATCTGTCGCCTTTTCTCCCCTGATCCGTCCTTCCCTCTGGTTCTCCATCTCCCTCTCTTCCGTGCCATTGTGTTGCATTACCCTTGACGATGTAGTGATGAGATAATGAACAAGTTGTCCTGCAAAAGTAAAGTCAGTGGCACCTACAGTGCATCTTGCAAATGGGATGTTCACAAACAGTTTGACTTTGATGAAACTTGACTCCCTGACATTAGTGATCTCCCTTCAGAAGTTCCCACCTTCAATGAGAGCTGAAGCCAATGCTTTTTCTATTCAAGATTGGTGGGCTTTGACCTCTAAGATGGATGTTATAATGGCTTCACTGTTGGATCTGTTGAAATTGCAATCAGCACAGTTCAGGCCTCTTGTGAGTCTGTTCAGCTGCTTGAGGAAGTCCCTGCCATCTGCCCTTTTCGCTCCAGACTCCTTCGGATATTCTGGGCTGCGATGGAACGAGGCTATGACAGTTTTGGTTTTGAACTGGGCCTCCAGCTCTATTAGCATATTTTCACCCTGTGTACAGACAACAGACCCCCAGCCACCCTCTTCACCCCCTCCCACCCATGTGTTTGATTCCTCGTCCGTGACAAAGAGCTTCACCCTTTATCCGTGTGTGTGTGTTGAGCTGGTGAGATGGGGGGTGGCCCTTAGATTAAGGGAAAGCTTCCTGCTCTTTATTTGGGCAGTCCCCCTGGGAGACGCTTTGGGAATGACTTTCGTTGAGTCACTAACGCCTACTTGCATACACACACACACACACATGCACGCACGCACACACATACACACCTTTCACCCCTGCTCTTTTTCAGACTGCCCTTTGGCCACGCACTGGTTGTTGTGTAACACCAGCTAAGCGTGCAAAGACACAAACACATGTCCCACCGAGGCCTCCTAGTCTCTTCGCATTAGGAGACCCCTTTATCTCTCCTTTATACAAAAATAACTTGCCAACTACAGTAAAATATCTTACTGAAATATGACAATGACTGTATGTAAAGTATGCACCCACCAGTCTGCAGGTACATGAAAAAAGTATACTTTAGCTGTCATTTTATAGTAAAGGTAAAGCATCAGTGGGTGAAATTTGTAACTGATAATACAAGAACCAAAACAATTTACATATATGAAATTGAATGTTTAAGTTGGCAAAGTATGTACAAAATACACATTAATATTGTTCAAGCCACTATTTGCAGAAGATTAACACCTATAAATTTGAAGTATGATAATAAGCACACAATAGGAGATCTATCATAAATTTGTAAGATAATATCTTATGTTCAACTAGTTTTTCATTATAAAGTCTGCAAATAAACAATGTATCATGTGGGTACAGAGAAATTAAAGTGACATTTTTATCTGGGTATGTCTCAAGAGTGCTACTTCATAATTGTGGCTTGAAGAAATGATTGTCAGTGACAGGTGAAAGTAACAATAAAACATTTAATAACAATTCACAAATCTCAGTAAATGGACTTCTTGTTTCTGATCATGAAAAAATTGCTAACTTATTTAATGAATATTTTATTTCTTCAGCAAGGACATCATTACNGTGTTTTGTGTGCTGCAGAACAGGAACCTGCTGTAAAACAGCAATTATGCTGAGTCAGGCTTGATTTTTAATAATCTTTTCCTGTTAAATAAATAAATCAAATCAAGATGTTTATCTCATTGTAAATCTAACACAAAGCTAAGAAAAGACTTGCAGCTAAGAATGTAAAAAAAGAGAACTAAGAGAAATGTTTGCATAGGACATATTTAGAAACAGCTGTTAGACACCTCAACAACACTCTGTTAAACTAAGAAACTTTGAGAGCTGAAAGGAGAGGGGGGATCTCAGTTATTTGAGTCTACATAAGTAGAAATGTTTTAAGTTGTTGAAGTCTTGAGTCATTGGTATGTTCTGTGCTGACTATAGCACTTCCTGTTGGGAGTTGAAAACAGCAGTTCTTCATAGAAAATAAATGTTTCAATAAAGGTTCACATTCTGTCACTTTTACTGGATTCCTCAAAGCTGATAAAGTTCGAAGTTGCTGGAAAGTTGCTGATGGTTTTGACCAAGTGAACAATTATCTGCCTACGATTTGAATTAGACAAACTGTAGTGTTTTGGTTTTTAAAAATGAGTCACTTTCATGCCTATCTGGGTTAATCTTAATTTTTGTGAACAATCAACTGATTAAATTGTCGCTGAAAACAAATAAAAATAAATATTTCAGTCAAAATGATCAAAACTTCTCTGCTGAGGTCAATTTAGAGGTGACAAAATGGATATATGCACAGTTTTGACTTGACTGCTGGATTGAGATGTAAGATTTACAGCTTTTCACTTTAATATGGTATATGAAGCAGAAGTATTGCCTCTGTGTGAGTGACACAGCTACCTGTGTGGTGACAACACTGAATAGCTTGTGTTTGTAACTGTGTGTGTGTGTGTTTAGAGGTGAAGGTCGTGGCAGAAAGAAGCTCCATCCAAACAGCAGCCATTTTAATTTGTTTGACAGGGGAGAAAGGTGATAACCTCCCTCTACAGCCGCTCACCCGAGGAAGAGGGGGTGGTGTTAGAAAACAAGGCGCGAAAGCAAAAAGCAAAGGAAGGATGGCTGAGCTGAATAGCGATAAGGCTGTTGAAGAGAGAGAAGCTGAAAAAGAAAGAAAAGAGTGCGGTGGAAAGGAGAGTGTAATATTTGATTATGGCTCAAGGCTTGTATGTTTATCCAAAGGCTAAAGACTGTCAACCAGCTAATCACGGGGGAGGGATGTGTAGGTGTTCCTGTGTTTGTGGGAGCATGTGAGCCTGTGTGGGTCATTGCTATCAGCACATAATTTATGCTGACTACACGTGTCTGTGTGTGTTTGTGTGTACGTTAGGATTTCTGGATGTCAGTTACAGTTCTGTGGGCCTGAGGAGAATACAGCAGACTCCCTCAGGGTGCTGTTAGTGCCACTCTCATACAGATGTGTGCTGGGCTGCAACTGTGACAGTGTCAACGCCTGCATGTGTGCGTCCTTCTTACAGGAAACAAAAACTCATCCTTTAAGGCTCAGCGTTCCTAACAGTGTCAGATGTTTTCTAGAATCGTATCAATTTTTTTTTTTACTGACTACTGGTCCACTAAATTAGTGATGATGTTTGAGAGGAAAAAAGCTAAATATAATTGTGTTTGTCACAGAATTTGGTTACTATGAAAAGATTTCTAATTTTCAGTATCAAATTTCTGCAAGAACAGTTTCAGTCTGTATATTCAAAGAGTTTTATAGAAACTAAAGAAAATCCTAAATTTGCTGTAAGGTATTGAGAGCTCATCTAACATGTTTTAACCCTTTAAAATCGTGGCTTAATGACATTTTTACATTAAAATGATTAAATTTATCACCCACCACTAAAGGCAAAAGGGTGATGATGTTTTTGGCTCTTTGAAATTAAAAATCAAAATGTCTTCAACCCAACATGAGATGATCAGCTTAAAACATGAAAAAAGTGGGTGATGTGCGTATCCTTAAGGACCCTTAGTTTATGGTTGTAATTAAGGCAGAGTTATTATATTGCAATTGATCTTGAAAAAGCATACCTATTTTATTACCTTGGTACACCATATATTATAATTTGAAAAGAAAAAGACAATTTTAGCAATATGCTACAGCTTTTGAAATTGCCTTTTTTTTTTTCCTGACAGATTTTGAAGGAGGAGGAACCTGGTTGGTTTCAGAAAAAGACAAGGAGGTAAGTCAATTTCAAAGTTTTCTTTTTTTTTACAGTAATTTTACTGTTGTTGTTGTTGTTGTTGTTGTTGTTGTTTTTGTTGTTTTTTTTTTCTTTTTAGGCAAATTTAAAATAGTTTCCACTTGTGGTATGAAGAGTTTTGAGGAGCTATAGGAAAAAGAATGTTTGTTAACTTTTAAAATTGTTTAATTCTTGTTCAGCCATGTTAAAGGCTGATTTGTTCCTTCTGAACTTGTCTAAGATACAGTAGCAAAAGCAATAAACTATTTAACAACAATAGTAGTATATTTGTGACATTGTAGCGTTATGTATATAAAAAGGTTTTTACTTTTGTCAAAGTGATTTAGAAGACATCAACACCTAAATTAATGATTCTTAAAAAGTACTCCTCTTTAATGAGTTGAACTCTTCTGGTTGGTATTGATCAAACTCTGGCCATGACCTCAGTAACAGTACTAACTGTGTGTGTTTCAGGCTCAGATCTATAACAAAGGCAATGGTCCCAGGATAACGGTACAACGGGTGTCGAACAGATATTATACTAACAAGAACGTCCACTGTAGAAACTGCAACAAGACCGGACATATCTCCAAGAACTGCTCTGAATCCAATGTCAGTTCTTCTTGCACAGTAGTGTTTCTGTCTTGGCCTCATTGCAAGGATGTAAACATTTTAATAACAGTGCTGTGCATATGTGTGTGTGTGTATGTGTGCAGAAGTTGTTGCCCTGTTACCTCTGTGGTACAGCAGGCCATGCAGCCAGTGAGTGTCCCAATAAACACTGCCGCAACTGTGGCCAGCCCGGACACTGCTTTGATTCCTGCCGTGAGAAGGCCTATTGGTACAAACAGTGCCATCGCTGCAGCATAAAGGGACACTTCATTGATGTGAGTATAGAATATTGTTTTCTTTATGTATGTATTTTTGTGTTTCCAAACAGTATTATTGTTTATCGCGATAATTTCTGCGACAATTTATCGTCCAGCAAAATTTATTATTGTGACGTGTGAAATTTACATCTATACTTGGATCTGTTTACACTGGTTAGGATTAGGGCTGCGCGGTAGATGGTAGAAACGGTATGAAGTTGGCCTAGGGTAGAAATTTACCCTCTACCCTCCTACCGTCATTACGTCATCGCACCTGTGTCAACAGGACTGTGAGTGCAGAGAAAACTGAGCAGGAGACGTTTGAACTATAATGAAGAAATTATAGTGTTTTAAAACATGTATAGAGAGAATAAATCCTCAAAATTGCCCCCTGCCGCTGTAGAAAAGTTACGTTGTGTCACGGGATCATTTTCTCCCTCCCTCTTGCTGCACGTCGTGCAGAGCGAAGCTTTAACATCATAGTTTTTTCACACCCAAGTTGTCGGAGAAAAAACTTGTTTTTTTATGTGTTGTTACCCACAGAGGTGATTTAAAAAAAAGACGTGAACGTTCGTTCAGTCATAAATCCATCTTGCTAATGTAAAGATGGCTTCTGCTCTAATGATGAAGATGATGAAGATGAGAGCGCAGCATAGCAGCAGCCGATAAGTTCAGCAGGAAGAAGCTCATTGTATGGCAGGCAGATGTTACATTTATTTGGCTTCACCACACTTACATTCTAGTTATCTGAAATTGTTTCATGACAGGACTATGTGCAGCTTAAGCCCCTTAAGGTCCTGTCACACTATAACATTTTAGGCAACATTCAATTTTTTACGTCTAAATGACTAATTTTACTTGAAGTACTGATTATAATATTAATTTTATTTTGATATTGTTGAAAATTTAAAAAATGTTTTTGTTGTTGAAAGGGTTTTACAATATATATAAGACATTCTTCTGTACTTCTGTTATGTTCATTTGCACTACGGCAAAAATACTGGCTTTGATTATGATTACAGTTTTCTGCAAAATAAATGCTCTAAAAATAACATTATCTTTGCTTTTTATGATAATGTTCTACCGTGATACATACCGTTACCGCGAAGGGATCCATTTTATACCGTGAAATGAATTTGAGGTCATACCGCCCAGCCCTAGTTAGGATGTACAGTAGTAAGAGCCTAACATTACAAGGAGTGTAAGCTAAACCATGTTGAGCTATGCAGGGCCGTTTTTGTGTACATGTCTAATGCAGTGTATTCATTACAAAAACTCATGTAGGATGTGCATAAACACAGGGGTTTTGTGATGTTTTTATAATTCCAAAATGTATGTGTAACATAGAGAACACACAGAGCAATTGAAAAAGCAATAAAAAGGAAATCAGAAAGTAGTCTGCGTATGTTTTTTTTTTTTTTAGCTGAACTATGCAAAGACATTCCACACATTTAATCATCAATCACCAATGAAGGAAGTATTTTTTGTTCCAGGTTTGGATTGGTGTGTTACAACTGAAGGGTGTAACTAATGACCATTAATGCTGCATTTATTACCTGGCCCTATTACGCAGAAGTCTAGAAAGAGAAAACTGTATATTATGAGCTGTCGACAGCCACCTCCCACCCCCACGTCTCCTCTCCCTCCTTTTTCGTCAGTCAGTCATGTACCGTGCTTTGTGTGATGGATGAGTAACCAGGTGAACACCAGAGGGAGAGGCTACACCAGGACACACACGGCCCAATTTACCTTTTTATTCTTTCCTCCTTCCCTCTTCCTTTCTGACAAACTCTTATTCATCCGGTCTCATCTTCTCATTCCCACCCGTCTGTTCTTCTCCTTCCTCTCGCCTCTTCTACATACCGTTTTAAACAGCAGAGGTCCAAAGTTGTGCAGCGCTGTAATTACCTCTCACTTGTAATGCATAACTTTTTTGTTTGTTTGTTTCTTACACTCACAAATTACACTGAGTGTATTAGTGTGTGTGTTTGTGAGAGAAAAGGAGTCAAGTCTCAGTCCCTTGGGCCCTACTGTGTCTCTCATTAAAGACAGACGGTTGATGGAGCGCGAGTGTGTCGCTCGCCTCGCCTGTCGCCCTCAACAACAGCACACTACCCTGGCGGTCTGGAGGGATAGAGCAAAAGGGAGGGAGTGTGTGTGTGGGTGTGTGTGATGGTGGGGGGGGGGGTTGTCAGAGGGAAAAAGATAGATGAGAGGAAGGAAAAGATTCTGCTATCAAAATTCATATTAGTTCCTTTTATTCAAATCTAAACAGGTAGGATTTAGCCAGGAAAACTACCACTCAGGCCAAATTAGACTTTTTGCAGTTAAATATAGAATTTATTTAAGTTTACTGAGTGCAAGAGCAAATTATGTACAAGCTTTTTTTTCACAGAACAGGCTTGAGAATCTGAACTGTGTCTCACTCTGCTTCTCACTCAGTAGGTATGTAAGCAGATAAATCTTATTGCCTGAGGCGACTGCGGCATTTTCAATTTCCCCATGGGAAGTGGCACTGGCTGGCAAAGGATGTCGGAACGCTTAAGGAACAGCGTGGAGAAGCCCCAGAGATAATGCTTTAGCCACAGCAGCACAAAACAACTGACTGCCTCACTTTCTGACTGTTTGAGCAACACATTACTGGAAAAGTGTAAAAATCTGGGCTTTAGGGAGAGAGATGCAGGAAGAAGCTGGAGGACTCAGGCGGGCAGTTGACACGGAAGTGTTTTCTAAATTTTATTTTGCATGGCCCTCATGTCTTGGTATCACTCAATAAATCAGATTTCTTTTTCTTTACATTTCAAACATAGTTTTCATGGATGTTACCAACATGTTATTTTTTCTTTAGTGTTCAGCTCGTGGTAAAGAGTCGCATACACATTCATGCTGCTTCCGTGTGCCTCTCCAAAATAATATTTGAGAATGCATTTGTTGTGAATTATGCCAAATAAATAAATAAATTCAGTTGATTTCTTTTTTACTTTAAAATGTATTTTTCTCTCCTTCCAGGCTTGTCCAGAGATCTGGAGACAGTATCACATTACAGTGAGTATCTTTTCATTAAGTCAACTCTGTCAAGCCCTGCTGCGCTCACATTCACCTTAACACTGCTTCACATGTTCATGTTCTAATCTCTGAGGATTTTTTAGTCTTTTAAGACAGAATTCCAGATGTGACTTTTGTTTATTATATTGGTATCCTAAAGAAACAATGATCTTCTTTATTTTGAAAAGATTTTAGACTGAAAGTAACACTAATATAATAACTGGGTCTTCACTTCCTCCCCTTGTCACACGAACACATACAAAAACAGGTCGCACTAGACGTTTTACTAAGTTCACCATTTGTTTGCTGCGAGTGTGTAGTAAGTCTACAGCACAACCACTCAACGTAATGTTAATAACTAGCTCACAACACGCATACATCCAAATACATCACTAAAATGTAACTTATTTTTAAGGAAGTGTCATCCAAACACATTTTTTACTATTTACCACAGATGAAGTCAAACTCAGCGTTGAAATTCTCCTAAATGAATCCATCCTTTTGTCCTTATGGATTAATTTTTCAGTACTGATTCAACACGTAACAGACAGCCTGTGTCTTTGCAAAGCAAGAAATATTAAATGGATATCCATAACTTCATCAATTGATGCTGTTTGAATGAGTTAACTCCAGTAGTTTCCAATATCGATTTGCAATTTAATTATATGTGGCTCAGTGGTTAACTGAGGGCACTGATTGTGTTGAAAGCTTAGTAGTTGTAGTAATAATATTAATAATAATACTAATAATAATAATAATAATAATAATTAGGCTTTAAAACATTTGGACAGTACTGTATAGGCTACAAGTGTTTCCAGTAGATTACTTACTTACCACAGTGCTCCCAATTAAAGCAGAAAGAAAGGACACAAGATGGTGATGGTGGATGGACAGACTAAGCCCGCAGCTTTCTGAACCCAGCTTATTTTAAACCCAGTGACTGTCCCTTTATTTTTATTTTTTTCTTCATTCAGAATACAGCTAATCAGACACAAAATCTATTAAATCTAATGAAGCAAAACACGTCTGACAGAACAGAGCTTTCAGATATATTCATTTCCTAACAGTTGTTTGAATAAATGGAAAATCTTATTTGCCCTCACATCATATTTCTGTAACTTCCTAAAGGACAAGTGTTAACATGAACTTCAAATAAAAGTTTCAAATCAGTAAATTGATTCTGACTAGGATTGAGCTCGCCGTACAGCTGAGATGTTAAAACTAAAAGGTTAAAGGAGTTTTGAAAAGGGATGGAAGATGATTTTTGTCTTAATGTTCAACCTAAGTGCACATGTGATGTTGGGGTGTGTGTGTGCATGTATGTGTGTGTGTGGTGTGTGTGTGTGTGTGCTTACAATGTGTCAGAAAGTTGAAAACTGTGACACTCACGTGGGCCACATGTCAGTAGGGAGGCATTTGCCTATTTGAGAAAGTGTGTGTGCGTTTGTGTGAATTAAAAGATTGGAAAGACAACTAGTTTTCCAGGCGTGTGTGTGTGCGTGTGTGTGTGTGTGTGCATCTGAGCAAGGGGGTGATATAGACCTCAGCCTAAGAGAAAAGAGCAGCTTGTTTGTCAATTAAAAGACGTGATAAAGCATGAAATGGGCTGCCAACACCACGCGGGACGAGGCAGCGAGGAAGAAGGAAGAGGAGTGTGTGTTTGCATATATCTTGGCGTGCACTTTGCGTATGTGTGTTGGCGGAGGTCTGTCACTCTCCTCTATGGAGATTAATTAGCAGGGGCTGTCTAATGAAAAGGCAGCATCGTTAGCGCGGGGTAGCATGGTGGGAGAGACGGGGGGGGGGGGGGGGAGCGGGACAGAGAAGTTCCAGGGGAGATGCTAGCAGAGAGGACGGTGGAGTTTAATTGTTGCTCATGTTTCAGTGGAAGATGCTGATTCAGTTCAGTTTCACTCAGAACCACAGACGAGAGGAGACGATACAGGCGGAAGTCTCTGGTTGCACGCTGGTGAAACAGTCTTTTTTGTGCGTTGGCGTGCGTGTTTTTGTGTGTGGCGTTGTGCTTTAACGGGTGGAGGATTGTGACCCAGGTCTAATTGAAGTATTTAAGCCATTTAAGCACAGGGAACAGAAGGTCGTTACAGATCCAAACTGGCATGGGGGTTAGGGGCCCGCGCACACACGGACCCGCTCTCACACTCACACAACCACGCAGGGCTCCTTCTGTTTAAGACAGCCCCATTTTATTCATGATGCTGCTTATGACCCTGAACTCCCCAACGTGAGGAGGTGTGTGCGTGTGTGGATGTGTGTGCGTTCGCTTTGGGAGATGAGACTCTGTCACCTTCCGCTGGGCTCAGCCAGGTGTGAAAAGGCATTCTGTCAGACCTCCCTGCTACCGGGTCCATTTATCCTTCGTTGGTGTGTGTTTGTGTGTGCACAGTCCGTTTATCTTCCGTGAGTGTATGTGTTGTCTGCCTGCACCTGGCCCTCAACTAACAAACTCCTCCAAACCCCTCAGTATAGACCACAAAGCCCAGGGGCTTTTACTGAGAAACTACCACACGGACACACACACACACACACACACACACACACACACTTTTACAGAAATAAGCAGCAGCAAAATGGAGTCAAAAGATACCCACATTTTCATCACGTCTGGGTCAAACGTTTTTATACAACTCCTAATATTCAGAAAATGCTTTTTTTCTGTTAAAGAACAGGTGGACTATAACAACTCTTTTTACGCCAACTTACACGCACAAGCATACACACACACACACACACACACACACACACAAACCCGCCCACAGACACTGGTTTTACTTCTTTCTTTTTTATGCACCTTAGACTCCATATGTCAGACTCCTTCCTCCTTCTGCATTCTGACTTTCTTACTAGGTAATGAAAACTGAATACAGTTTTTAAAAAATCTCCAAAAGTCCCGTCTAAAATCAATTTATAGATTTTACCACCAGATTTTATCTGTTTGTCTGGGTAAGTTCACTGTATGATCACGTCTACAAATATCCTTGTAGTAATATGTTAAATGTTGCTGAATATTGTTTACCCTTTTCTACATTTTGTAAAGTGTTTGATAAGATGATGGATATATTCTCACAGAGTGCATTATGTACAGTGCTGTGAAAAAGAATTCAATAATTTACAGATTTCTTCATTTTTTGATTCTTTTTTTTGGTCACACCTGCATATCTCATTCGTTTATTATAACTGGCGATGAGTCCTTCGTGTGTCTGCTGTGTCTGGAATCATCATCCTGCTTCAGAAATCAAATGTTTTTGAGCTTAAGTTCACAAAGTGATGGCTGAATATTCAGCGTCACAGTTTTCTGGTAGAGAGCAGAGTTCGTGATTCCATCAGTTACTTCCCCTTCCGGGTCCTGAAGCAGCCCCTGACCATCACAAGTCTCACATTCGGCAAAAGACATCCTGATAATCCCAAAATATTCTGGATTGACGATAGAAAAGTAAACCCTTTTGGCAGCTGAACATCCTGTTACATGTGGTATAAACCAACACTGCATGTCAGGAAAGAAACACAGCCAAGCATAGTGGAGGTAGTGTGATGGTCTGGGGCTTCTTTAGGACCTGGACTGAATGATCGATCATCACGTCATGTTGTTTATAATGTCCACATTATGAGCACTAAATGTAATTTTGTTGCTTTGACAGAAGACTTCTAGTTACAAAATGAGAATAACAATCAATTTTTTTATTTGACAAACTAGAGACTGTCAGCATCACAATTAACAAACAGCTTTTATTGAAAAATTAGTCTTTAGGAGAAGTCTTTGACAAACACGAAACAAAACCATATTTATATTTTGCTGAAAACTCAGTCTCAGGCTAGAGAAAAAACATTACGAGAATGTGATTGATTCATGGATAGAGTGCATTGACAGAAAGTCAAGATAAAAATTTAATGTCCCGTTCTTCATTCTGACTGCATAATAGCATGTAAAGATGGTACAATAATTCCTACATGCAGTGTATTAACTGTCACAGTGACTTTGTCCTCCTCCTCAGTCTGCATGGACAGACACAGAAGTGTTGAATCAAGACCAGAGCGCCCCCCTCTGGCTGCTGCAGGAAGTGGGGGCAGATCTCCTTGAAATCAGCATTGTTTTAGTATAAATGTTCTCCTTTTTATTTGAGACTATGTTAAATATGTTGTCAAGCTGTGTATAGGTGTGTATCTGTGTGTGGTGTGAGACTCACCAGCACAGAGGAAATGTACAGACAGACAAAAAAGACAAGGCAGAAACAGCTGGACAGGCTGGGGGGGGAGCGAGGTGTGGTAAAGCGAGTGTATTAAACTGTTGGACAGAGACGAGGAGAGTGAACCTGCACACAGCAGCTGATTGGTTCAGGTATATCTGTGTGAGAGCATTGATTGGCTGCTCTGTAGACGGCGGCGTTGACACCTGTACGTTGGTGTTTATTGATCGGTCTGGTCGCAGACTGTAGTGTGTGTTTATTGAGCGGATTTTCTCATCATGTTTGGATCAGAGTGGATGTATATCGATCTTTCCCTAAGGGACAGGTGCATGTGTGCGTATGTGTGTAATGTCATGAAAAAAAAAACCCACTTTGTGACCCTCTTGTTTGAAATAAATCCAGTTGAACTCTCCTCTTTCCCACCTGACTGCCTTTCTTTACCTTTTCATTCGGCATGTTGTAGCTTTTAATACACTTTTGTCTCACTGTCTTTCTTCAGAAGACATCCTCGGTTCACACATGTCTTTTGTTAGCCCAAGGTTAAGACATTTCGCCCCTTAAATCCTCTTATTTTCATTAAGAGTATACCATTAAATTTCCAACAGGGCAAAAATTCTGTTAACACAAAGGACTTTTTCAGGTTGTCAGTGTCAAATTAAAGCATGAGAATTTGCTGCTCGTTTCTTTTTCTTTTTCTATTTTTTTTTTTTCTTTTTGGAGTGGCTCTGGTTAGGAAAAAAGGTTTAAAATGGGACCACTAATGTAAAAGACCAAACTCTACAGTTAAATTTATCAAAA